CAATTGCACGCCTGCGTGTCCTGACCAGTAATCTTGGTTTCTAACCCTTTTTTTTATAGGTCAATGATATAGCAGAATATAAGTCAAGTACAAATCAAGTAAGAAAAGAGTAGAGGCTGTAACCATTTTCAACAATGGGTTTATAACTATACGTACACACATAAAGATCGAGAAGCAAAATGCGGCTGCCTGTGGCTGAGTAATCAGGTCCAGAAAAAAAGGAGCATGTTAGAACAATAATACATCTACTTCATCAAGTACAGAATATATCATAGTGTACAACATACGACGTCTCTCGATTAGATTAGCGTCTCCGCAAATTCCCAAGCCCTTTCGACCTTGAATCTGTTTACCATTTTACCATTTACTTCTACCATTTATACCCTTGAAAAATTCAGTGGATGCGCCGACGGAACCACGATGTTCTTTTAGACTACCGTCCTATAACAGTCCAATCGAGTCTCCTTTCCCAGCCCCCGAGTGGCATTCGATCCATACCCAATACCTATTCAACAGTAGACACAAAATGTCTGCCAAATCCTCCCCAGAACCCCAGGACCCGGGCCAGACCTCCGGTTCCACCTCCGCCTCAAATGGCAACGGGACACCCACTCCAAATGATGTGGAGATGAAGAGCTTGCGCCCCGATCCTCCTAAAGGCTCAATTCCTCTGGGAGAGGATGTGATGCAGTTGGCTCGGATGGGGGAGATTGGCACCATGCAGAAGTTGTTCACGGCCAAAAAGTTCACCGCAAACCACCGCGATGAAGAGGGGATTACACCACTGCATGTTCGTTACAACCTAGCACATATAACATGGGATCTGTTTACTGACTTCTCTTTTTTCTAGTGGGCAGCAATCAACAATCAATATGCGATGTGTAAATTCCTGATCGACTCCGGAGCCGACGTCAACGCCAAAGGAGGAGAATCGGTGGCCACACCAGCCATGTGGGCTGCACAACGGTGTCATTATTATATTGTGAACCTACTGCTCCAGAATGGAGGCGATCCTCTCCTGACGGACGTCCAAGGATACAATATTCTACACCTCGCAACCATCGATGGCAACGCTTTCCTAGTCGTGCTGCTTTTACACCAGGAGATCCCCGTGGACGTTGTTGACCAACAAGGGCATACTGGACTGATGTGGGCTGCGTACAAGGGGTATCCTGCGTGTGTGGACTTGTTCCTGCGATGGGGCGCCAATGCAAACGCCGTAGACGAAGGTGGTTTGACGCCGCTACATTGGGCGTTGGTCAAGGGCTCGATGCCCTGTGTCTTGAAGTTGCTTGAATACGGCACTGACCGTTTCGCAAAGACCCGCGATGGAAAGTCACCTGCTACTGTGGCTCAGGAAATGAACACCCTGAGGGTTTGGTACCGCGCGCTCAACGAGCGCGGCTTTGAACCGGATGGCACCCAAAAAGTGGTGCCTCTAGGCCTTTCAAACTTCGTACGCAACAAGAGCATCATGGCTAAGTTCTTCTTCCTCTGGCCTTTCTTAATTATTCTGGTTGCCATCTGGATGCTTAGTAACCTGTCGATTTTTGTTGCTGTGCCCCTCGTGTTAGTGACAGTCTTCGGCATGCAGTACGTTGCACAGCAATTTGCGAACAAGGGGCCTATGGAATATCGTGTGCTACATAAAACACCGTATCTTGCTGGCGTCTTTGCTGGCACGTTGTTTTGGGTTGGCTTCCGCTATGTTTTCAAGGTGCTGCCAGCAACCTATTTGTCATCTCCGATTCTGAACATCTTGTTCGCGGTCTTCTTCTGCTTGACTACTTATTTCTACATTTTTGCCATGGTCCAGGACCCGGGTTATGTTCCGAAAGTGAGCAGTAGGAACCAACAGAGAGAGATTGTTAAGGAACTATTCGAGCAGTGGAAGTTCGACGAAGAGAATTTCTGCATCCCCTGTATGGCAAGAAAGCCACTCCGGAGCAGGCACTGTCGGCGGTGTGGGCGCTGCGTTGCGAAGCATGATCAGTATGTGTCGTGAGAAATTTCTATTGATCTGACCACTAATTTTCGAATAGCCATTGCCCATGGATTGATAACTGTGTTGGAGCCAACAATCTCCGTCATTTTGTTCTTTATATAGTCTCCCTCGAAGTTGGCATCATTCTGTTTGTGCAGCTGACTATTGCCTGTGAGTACTGGTGATCTTTTTTGCCTCGGATCAGTCAACTAACATGGTGACAGATATCAATTCTCTACCCGCTCCTACCAATCCTACTTGCAATGTCATCAATGACACGTTGTGTGACTACGCCTCTCGCGATCCCTTCACTTTGGTTCTTAATGTGTGGATTACCCTCCAGCTGGTCTGGGTCACGATGCTGTGCGCCGTTCAGCTCGTCCAGATCTCTCGCAACCAGACAACCTATGAGAATATGCGAGGCCACCAAATCGACCGGTCCTACCCAAGCTCCCAAGCCTTTGCATCGGCCATGACCGCCGGAACCACGTCAATGGAAGCTGCTGGTCTTTCGGCTTCTGGACAAGGACCCAACCCGGCCCTCCGCGGCGCATCCGAACCCCGACGGAAACATGGCTGCATCCAACAGTGGTCATCTCTTCTCGGAATCGACGCTTTTTGGACAACCGCCAAGGACGGTCTCCGCGACGGGCCTCAGGCGGCTCGTCCCCGGAACCCCTTCTCCCGCGGTGTCGTCACCAACTGCCGCGACTTTTGGTGTGACCCGGCTCCGCTCTTTGGCAAGCGCCAGACCGGGACGGCGATGCTCGGCGGCGAGGTGATCAACTATCACGATATGTACGAAACTCCAATGCGCATGCACACTGGCAACCGGTCCGGCGAGGGGCCTGGCTACCGCAGCGTTGCTGGCGAGGACCCCGAACGCATGGTGTAAGATGATCCGAGCTCTGAGCGTTGTTTGCATTGATATCCTTCTACCCCAGTGTTTTATTATGCAAATCAGCGCGATGTTGCATTATCGGGGCACGTGGCACGACCAAATGTTTGCATTTTGCATTTAGAAAGGATCCCGTACAGTTGAGGTTAAACATTAATGATTTCAAGGTTTCTTTCACTATACTATTACGGGAGATGACTTGGCTCTTGAGCGGCAATAGGAACCAATATTCCATCGGGTATATATGACACCCACTTAGCGTCCAAGGTCCTCCAGCATCTCCACAGTCTCACATTCCCATCAGATAAGATAGATCATTTTCTTTGGTTCCTGCAGCGGACCACCAATACACTGCATAAAGGCCGAGTGCCGGACCCTTGGGCGTTTCTGGAATGATACCTAGGAAGGGCAGTCCTATCCCGTCCGAACGGACCGATTGGTCCAGCTGGGTCTAGGTCTGCCTACGTCTAGGTACCTATGTACACTGCACATGACAATTTTATGCTTTACATTACGCATTACAGTATAAAATATAAAACGTACCTTGCATGGGAGCTCTGGAGGTGCATATGCCAGCGCACACTGAGGTACTTTCTGTAGCTTGCGATCTTGCCAAGCGGATGGCGGCAGTGACTTCAGATGAGCTTGGCAGGGCTGCAGCCTTTCAGGGACCCGAGAGGAATGTTTTGACGGCCGAGGCTCCAGTGTGGCCTGATGTTTCTGGTGAACTCCATAGCGGTCAAACGATTACAGTATTCCAAAGTTTTTCGATTACACAAGGTACCGTGATCTAAATCTTACCTAGACACCTACAGAATAGGCAATAAAATGCTAATCCAACGGGATTTTAATAATGGAGCCCGAAACAAGTCCGAGTCACAATCTGAAACCTACCTCGGTAGGAGACATCAGATAGCAGTTCCCACTCTGGACACATCCGATATCGCCGAAGAAGCTGCCAAAACTCAGAAATTGGGGAAGATCTAATCTTTCGGGTACCCTATGGACCTATGGAGACAAACAAGCGGGCGAATACGTTGGGAAATAGGGTAAATTCTTCAGGGGAGAATACAAGATCTATAACATCGTACGATGCATAGGGTTTCCGGAAGAATGAAATTACGGATTTACAAATTTACAAATGTACAAATTTACAGATATACAAAATACAAAGTCATAACAGTGCGTATGCAGGCTCCATCTCGCTAACGACTCAACTAGGCAGGTGACGGAGCTCTAAGAAGCCACTTTTACTTAGTGCAGAATTGGGCTCAATCGTATATTTTCTACGGAGTATAGAAGAGAAGTTACAGTCAAGCCCAGCCTAAATTTTCTTTTTTGGAAAAAAAAAAAAATTCAATATACCAAGACAAAGAAAAAAAAAAAAAAAAAAAGCAAACTGCCAAGCCCGATCAGATAAAAATTTCAAGTTATCTGATCCATGCAGGACCCACTTACTTTTATCTGATTTGTGTTTTTTGACCATTGAATTTCCCAAAGCGATGGAAATAAACAGAAAATGTCAGGCAATCTAGAGATATTCCGTAGTATACTCCGATACTCTGTACTCCGTATCCAGATATCTTTCAGGATTGGGATCGGCACCGATCAGCGCGTGAGTTTTGATTTTTTGAATTTCATTGTGTCCCGCACTTGCCAAGGAAATATTGATGTTTGATTAAGAGCTGTTTTTACCGTACTTTCGATCGGTGTGTACGGAGTACGCCAATTTTACTCCACTTACAGGTCGGGACATGCTTCGGTACTTGTTACTTGCCTAGGAGTATATAGGGATGATCCTAAGTGCCTGAAGATCTGATGAGGTAAGGCCGATAGGTACCAAGGTTGGTATTGTACGTATAGAAAAAAAAAACGTTGAAGAAAATCATTGAACAAGCTCATCATTAACGCAAAGTAAAAAAAAATATATATAAAAAGAACCTCTAAATACACAGGATGTCTAAATGTTTCACCCAGAACAGCGAAGGGAGGGGGGAATCATCGAGAGCTGTCTCGCCAGACACATTTTCCAAAAAGAATCTCGGCCCACTTCCCAAAAGCAAACCCGAGACACGAAACAACGATCATGTCACATTTTGTTTCACGCCTTTTTTTTCTTCACAGCATAGCGCGCACCCGGGTGTCCTGCACCAAGGGAGCGCCAGCCAACTGATCCGCAAAGACGGAGCTAACAATCTCACCCCCCGCACGGCCAGCACCGACAGCAAAGAATCACTCAGACCGTGGGTCTTTTCGTTGCAACCCTGCAGCCAGATACCAGCCTGGGCACTGACCTTGGCACCGTCGAGCGAAACACGGTAATCACGGCCGGGGTTCCAGGCCGAAGCGCCGGCGGGCCGCAAGCTGCGCACGTTCTCGAGGAGTTCCTCGTGCGCGTCGCGGAGGTAGCCCGTCGCGACCATCAGGGCATCGACATCCAACACTTCCTTACCCCCGCTCTCGTTGTTGACCGACTTGACGTGGATGCGCATGCGGTTCGATGCATTGTGGTGCTCGATCCGGGCCACCTGGGTCTCGGGAAGGATGCGTTGCTGCCATTGTGTCTCGTCGGGGTTCTCCACCCGCTGCAGGTACATATCGTTGTAGATGGACTCAATCAGCTCCAGGCGAACCACGCTGTAGTTGGTGGCTTTTTCGATGGCGATGCGCTTCTTGCGCTCCTCCGCACTCATCTCATAGAACTTGTCAACGCGCTCGGGGTTGAAGATTTCATTCACACTAAAAAAAGCAAAAAAAAAAGTTAGTATGAATCTATGGAGCTGTGTATTTGGGGGGAAAGCGTACAAGGGAGAATCATCACTAGGACGCAAAGCGGTGTCACGGAGGATAAGGGTGGTGCGTGAATTGGGGTAGCGACGGTGCAGGTCGTGGTAGATCTCGGCGGCACTTTGACCACTGCCAACGACGGCAATGTTGTAAGGAGCCATATCGTCGTTCAACATCTGAGGCAGGTGAGTGCAGTACTTAGAGGAGTGCATGATGCGGGGATCCTGGGGGAAACCAGGAGGCATCTTCGCCTTTCCGCCGAGGGCAATGACGACCTTGCGGGAGTTGCGGGAGGAGATCTCGCCAGTACCAGTGTTGCGCGAGACGACGGTAAAGAAGTCGACGACACCACGAGCATTGGTGGGGCCGGGAACGACCTCGACAACCTCCTCGCCATAGTTGACAACGTTGGAAAAGCGTTGGGCACACCAGCGCATGTAGTCCTCAAATTCCACACGGGCAGGCAGGAAAGTGCCCAAGTTGGTGAAGTGGACGAGACGGTTTTTGTGGTGGAGATAGTTGAGGAAAGTGAAGCTGCTGCGGGGATCACGCATAGTAGCGAGATCCTTCATGAAGGAGATCTGCATGCGCGAGCCCGGGACCAGCATCCCAGAGTGCCAAGCGAACTGGTTCTGCTTCTCCAGGAAGCAAACCTTAGGCTTGAAGTTGGGGTCCTTGGAGGCACCGAGGGCGGGGTCCATAGCGTCATTCAGGGCAATACCGACAGCAAGTGAAGCTGGGCCGAATCCAACACAGAGCAGATCATGCATCTCATCCGCGCCAGTTGGTCGCAACAGCGACCGAGCTGACTGGGGTGAGGTGCTTGGCACCATGTCGAGGAAGGAGAGCTCCTTGCGGGTAACAGACTCCATAATTAAAGTGAAAAGTGAAAGGGAAAAAAAAAAGGTGTATATATACAGCCGAAAGAGGAAATCCAAGAGCTTCGGGGGAGCTTCCAAGCTTTTCAAATCCAAAGAAAAAGAAATGAAAATGCAGGGAAGGAAAAAGGCTTTATATGCCTTGTCTCCGGAAATCTGAGCGGATCAGATAAGTTGACCAAGTGGATCCTGAAGGTCTCTGAAGCCCTCGCTTGATCTATTTTTTTGCCAAGTCTCCGTAATTTCCCTTGTTTTTTTCAAATTTTATCAATCAGTCTCCACTGATGGTTTTTTTTAAATCTATGTTCCGTGGACACGGGTATATTTTTCTCTATTAGTATAGTATAATAGTATCATAATATAGTATATGCCTACTAGCTCCAACTATATGCAAGAAGATAAAAGAAGAAGGGTTCTATGCTTCATGCAGTCTGAGAATATAACTAAAATCCGGCCTTACAGCCGATGTCGGGAAAAATTGGGGATCGGAGTATGGTATATTAAGTACATGCACGTTGTTACTCCTCTTGGCAACGCATTGGACTCGTTTATAGTGGGCCTGGAAAATTCCTCCGCAGTATAGTTCTTTTTTGCTTTCTTTTTTGTCTACGCTTGGACATTTGAGGTGACAATGACATTATGTGAGGTTATATTATATATTACCATACTCCATATGTAATCCTGTTTACAGTATATTATAGGTTCTTATACGTCATTCATATCAGGACACCTGTTTCAGCTAATCCCGAGGGAATATGGTCTGATCTTGAGAAAATATATATATGGAAGATTGTATTAAATCTAAAAAGTAGGATCTTAAATGACGGTCAAAAATATTCCCAATAATATAGAAATAATATATATATACCTCACCTTTTCCGCGCTTGGCTCGCTGAAGATCATACAAATCCCCCATATTTACTTGACTTTTTTTTTTTTTTTTTAAATCCGAGCCCCTCCATTTAGAAAAAAAAAAGAGCCTGTGGAACTTTTTTTTTTTTTTTTTCACGCGCTTGCATATTCTCTCCAGCCACTCACGTTGCGCCTAATTAGATCGACTAAGCAGAGCCCTCGAGCTATATACTTTACCTTGAATACCTTGAATATGTATGAGTGAGAGAAAAAAATTTAAAACCTACACACAGGTCATGGACCGATTCACTCAGTTCCCCGCCATCAATGACGATGATGATATTCATATCGTACCCTGGCAGGTGGATGCCCAACTCCCCTCAGACATATTTGCTTTGTCATGGGCAATCTTGCTATGCGGATTTACAACAGATGAGAACCCGGTTTTTGTATTGAATGGTGTGCCAGTCAAGGCAAATCTATCTGTTCGGACGATTCACCCAGCAGATCTGGCTGTGTCAGACCTCTCAGTCAAACACACAGCCGTAGTGTTGGGAGATCCTCTGTTCAGTGATGACGGACATCCCCCGGCGTTGCGGTGGACCCTAGACCCCACTACTCAGTTGGGAGCCTTGTGTGCGACCGGAGGCATGAATGCCGCTTTCCTGTACCAGTTGGGCAACCAGCTGAAGCAGATTGTACAGGAGCAGGCTGCTCAGAAGGGTATACAAGTGACACTGTCTGCCACCGAGGTCCCTGATTTAGCCATTTCAAACGCCTCCCCCTCCACACTGCCAGGGCCTCAACTTCTACACGAGCTTGCCCTACGCGGGCTCAACGATTCAAACCACGCTGTTGAATTCCTCGCCCCGGATGGAAACATTCGTTGCTTGTCGTACCATGACTTGGACCGGCTTTCCTCGGAGCTGGCAAATAAAATAGCTCATGCTTCGACAACTTCGCAGGGCATACAGAACGTTGTGCCAGTACTTCTGCCCCAGTCTGTGGAATTGTATATTTCATGGCTGGCCATTCTCAAGGCTGGCGCAGCTTTCTGCCCCTTGAACACCGATGCACCAACAGATCGCATCGAGTTTATTCTGCAAGATGTGGCTGCATCTGTGGTGGTCACAAATGATGCTCTTGCAACCAGGATACCGCTGAACGAGCAGGTTTCTATTCTTACAGTAGACGATCTTCAAACCAATACCGATGTCACGGAGCCATGCTCAGAAAGCATCACTTCCACTGATCTGGCATATGTCATGTACACATCTGGTTCTACGGGCCGCCCCAAAGGTGTTGGGGTGTCCCATCTTGCTGCCACCCAGTCACTCCTTGCTCATGATGATTTGATACCCCCTTTCAAGCGCTTTTTACAATTTGCATCTCCCACCTTTGATGTTTCCGTGTTTGAGGTCTTTTTCCCGATGATGCGAGGGTCAACCCTCATCGGCTCCGAGAGAGAGCATATGCTTCTTGATATTTCCCATGTGATGACTACGATGAGAGTCGACGCCGCTGAGTTGACCCCAACGGTAGCAGGAGAGTTGCTGCGCACGCGAGCCGCAGCTCCATCTCTCCGGGTGCTCCTCACGATTGGTGAGATGCTCACCAGGCATGTGGTAGACGAGTTTGGCCAGTCCGAGGGCAGAGATGGCATTCTCCATGGGATGTACGGGCCTACCGAAGCAGCAATCCACTGTACTGCTGCCACCCATTTCCAAGCCAAGGACCGTGTCAATATGATTGGAAAGCCCTTTAAAACCGTTTCCGCATACATTATGTCACTACCCTCCGACGCGCCATCGTCCACGGAGCTTCACCCCCTTTTAGTAGGCCAAATTGGAGAGCTTGTGGTGGGTGGTCCTCAATTAGCAGACGGGTATATCAATCGGCCCGAAGAAAATGCCAAGGCGTTTATAGACAGTTCCGTGTATGGCCGGCTCTATCGCACGGGAGACAAAGCCCGCATACTCCCCACCGGAGAGATTGAGTGTTTTGGCCGAATTTCCAGCGGCCAGGTGAAACTGCGAGGCCAGCGGATAGAGCTTGGGGAGATTGAGCATGTTATCACTCGAGCCCCCGGTGTCCGCAGTGCTGTAACTATAGTAATCGACGGGAACTTGATTGCCTTTGTTCTGGTTACCGACAAGGGAACGACAGACAGCGGTCTCCGAGATGCCTGTCGTCAGCTGTTGCCTCGGTTCATGATTCCTGGAGAATTCGTGCTCGTCGACCGATTCCCCCAACTTCCCTCGGGCAAGATCGATCGTAAAACACTAGAAGCTGATTTCATTCGCCACCGAAGCGCCATTCAGGCTTCTGATGACCAACCCTACCGAGATGAAAAAGAAGAATCTATCGTTTCGAGCGTGGCTGATGTGCTAGGCCGACGACTCTCGTCGACAGAGAGCCTGGGAGCAGCAGGCCTTGATTCGCTAGCAGCAATCCGTCTCGCGTCCCATCTCTTGGATGCAGGAATTCGCTTGAGTGTGGCTACTCTGTTGGAGGCCGACTCAGTGGATGGGATCTGGCAGCTTGCCACCAGCCTTGAAGCTGCGAGCCCGACTGACGATACTCACGCAGCACTAGAAACTATTCTGCGGCTTGTTTCAGATGCAGGTGCGGCAAGGGTCGACTCGCTGGGCTTGGGCGAGCAGGTTTCGGACATCGTACCGTGTAGCCATATTCAACAGGCTATGATCTTGGAGACTGTTCGAGACAATAAGGCATACTGCAACTGGATTGAGCTGGAATTCGAGCCGTCGGTCAGTTCAACTTCGGTGAAAAATGCATTTGGTCAACTGGCGAGCCACAACGAGATCTTGCGATCTGGATTTGTGGAAATCGGCCTCAAAGATCACTCATATGGCCGCTTCACGTGGAATACCCTCGAGGAGCATGTTTCCGTGCAACGGGAACTTGACTACGATTTGGGCTTGAGTGCCGGTCACGATGTCTTGAACCCCTTCCGAGTTCAGATCAAGGAAGGGAAGGATCATCTCCGCGTGCTGGTGCATATCCACCATGCACTCTACGATGGATGGTCTTGGCAACTCATGCTGAAGGATCTCAGAAGTATCTTCTGCGGAGAGGGTCTCACCTCTAAGCCTTCATATAATGTCGTCGCAAACTTTTTCATTGAGCACAAACTGGATAAATCGACCACAGAGTCCTCAACCTACTGGCGTGATCACCTACAGGGTCTTTATCCTGCAAATTTCCCTACATTCCATGGAAATTCGGATACTGTACATGCTACCGACAAGGCTACCCGCGTGCTGGAAACATCCGTATCAAAACTTAACGAAGTTTCCCAGCATCTTCGCGTCAGCCGGCAAACCATTTTCCAAGCTGCGTTTTGCTATATTCTCTCCTCCTATATCGGAACCGGCGATGTTACCTTTGGAACTGTCTTTTCAGGCCGAACTCTGCCCCTAAAGGGCATCGAGACTATTCTTGGGCCCTGTATCAGAACATTACCTACGCGCATGAACCTCAGCAAAATGCAAGGTGTGACCGATCTCCTCTTGGCTATCCAGAACATGAACCGTAAGTCGCTCGAGCATGGCAGTCTTCCTCTTCAGGATATCAAGAAGGCTTCTGGTATCAACTTGGATCGCAGTCTCTTTGACACTGCACTCGTGTGGCAGGAAAGCATTTGGTCGGATGATGACCAGGGCTCGGTGTTCCGGGAAGTTGGAGCGGGGGAGTTCCTAGAATTTGCACTTTTGCTGGAGTTTGAGCCGCGAGAAGAAAACATCTTTGCCCGGGCGACTTACCAAAAGTCCGTGCTACCATTCGAGCAAGCTATGATACTTCTCGAGCAGATTGATTCCGTGGCTTCAATCTTGATCGATAATATTAATCTTCCGATCCAGGAGATCCCATCATATCTTCCCTCGTCAACGTTGTCTATCCAACATGCAGCATCGCCCGAGCAAGTCGATCTGCCAAGCTTGGCATCAAGTGTCGAGATGATTGCCTCTACAGACCCCGACCGGGTAGCAGTTGAAATGATGCTCTGGAAGCCAGAAGCTCCTGCTCCGTTGGTCGAAAGCATGACTTACGGTCAACTAAACTCCCAAGCCAATGGCTTTGCACACCTTTTGCTTCATGTCGGAGTGACAAAGCCCGATTTAATAGCCATTTATCTGACAACTTCCCTTGACTTTTACGTTGCCGTGCTTGGAGTTGCCAAGGCCGGTGCTGGTCTCCTCTTACTTCCCCGGGCCTCTTCAGATATGATTCATTCTATTCTCTCCATGGCGAGATTCAAGTTCTGTATCGTCGACTCCTTGACGGAAAAGAACCATCGCTTGGATTCTTTAAAGTCCGTTCAACTGATTCACATCTCTTATTCGCTGGATATATATCAAGATTTCAATATTCCCTATACTAATGAAGGATCTGATGTTATTTATGCTGAAGTGACGGTAATTGAAAATGACTTGACGGAAAACATCGTCATTTCACGCCAAAACTTGCAGAGCCATATCAATGCTCTTTCAGAGTGGTATCCAACACCAACCGGGTCGAAAATGCTATCATGTCTTCAAGGATCAGGTGGTAAGTTTCCCATGAAATTTTGACATCTAGATTATCTTTCTGACAAGAACCAGCATCAATTTGCCAGGCATTCTTCGCCTGGCACGCCGGCATGACATTGTGCTCAGCTACAGACGTAATCATGATGACTCGCATCGAGAAAGCCTGTCAAGACATGAACATAACGCACCTTCACTTGCCTCCCATGCTGGCCTCTCGCATTGATCCGCAAGCCGTTCCCAGTGTGCAGTACCTCCTCTCTTCGGGCGAAGAGATGACCCCCAAGCTCCATCGCAATTGGGCTGGCAAAGGTCTCCATCAAGCATACAGCAACCACGCACTGGCTCACATTTGTACTATCTATCCCAATACGCAAGCGTCAACCTATGTTCGAAACATTGGTAGACCTCTGAAGAACACATCTGCGATGGTTGTGGCAGATGGAGATTCACTCGTTCTTCTTCCACGCGGCGCCATTGGAGAGCTATGCTTTGGCGGAGATCAAGTTGGGCGCTGTCTACCCGACACTGAGGCATCAGTGACTGGTCGATTCATTGAGCATCCTAAATTCGGTCGTATCTATAGAACTGGTGATCTTGGAAGGCTGCTTCCTGATGGTACACTCATTCTCTCCCGAAGTTCTGACCTTGCACAGTCGTATTCTCCATCCATTGATCTTGATGAAGTTGACTGTGCTCTTATGGCTTTGGACATGATTCAAGAATCAGTGAGCTTGGTTTTGAATGACCCAAAACTGAGTCAGAAGGCGCCACTGGCGGTATTCTGGGTTTCTTCAACGAAATGCTCAGATTCTGTACAAATTGAGGAAGCTACGAATGATCTTTTCAAGGAGCTCACGAATAAACTTCCTTCTTCTAGCCTTCCATCGCTTCTTGTTCACGTGGACGCGATAGATCTCACCATGTCTTACAAGACCGATCACTTTATGCTGAGGCAACGGTTGGAGCAACTGACAACGAAAGAACTTGCGGTGTTTTCACCAAAGCTAAATGCCAATGATACTGGTGACAGTTTCACCGAGCTTGAGAAGACTATATCTATCACACTATCGGCAGTTACTGGCACCGCCCAAAGCAACATCCGCAAACACACATCGTTCTACAGACTCGGTCTGGACTCGCTTGCTGCCATTTCCTTGTCGCGAAAGCTGCAGGAGTCTGGATATGGAAGGCTTTCTGTGTCCACAATCCTGCGCCATAGCTCTATTGCTCAACTTGCAGCTGTCATTTCTGCCACGACCGACGAGGATCGGTCCGAAGAGGCTGTGATGCCCGCGCCACCAACAGTTTTCGATGAAATCTTCACTCGCCAAGTAGAAGATGAGTTCAAAGCTGCAGCCCTAACCGTTCAGAGCATTTACCCTTGCACTCCACTCCAGGAGGCCATGCTTGCAGCTGAGTCTGGTGGTCGTTCAGCTTATTTCAACCACCTCCTGCTTCTTGTGCACACCAATGCTGAGGACATGAGGGCGGCATGGACCAAAATGATGCAAAGACAAGACATCCTTAGAACCTGTTTCACGCAAACCAATGATAAGCGGTTTGCATATGCTCAAATTGTACTGGATACTTTGGTCTTACCGTGGTCTCATATTGAAACTTCTTCTTCTGAGCTTGAGAATGTTATCAAAGAGAGCAAGTCCAAGTTTGAGGGTCTTTCTCCTGTCAACGGCCAGTTGCCCTACTCGCTGACTTTGATAACCGATTCCAATGCGCAGAAGACACATCTTCTGCTGTCCATCCACCATGCACTGTATGACGGAGAAGGTATCGCTCAGTTATTGCATGAGCTTCAGCTATTGCTTTCAAGTCAAGAATTGCCGGCAAACGCGCCATTTCGCAACTTCATCGATTACATGACCTCTCTTGATTATGGCTCGTCGGATGAATACTGGGACCAGTACTTGTCCGGTGTTTTCCCGACCCTCCTTCCCACACCCGAGCCCGCAGCAAATGCAGATGAGTCGGCATCACAGCAGATCCATACATCCCTAAATGGTTCTTTCATATCGTTCAAACAACAATGCAAAGACCTCTCCGTAACTCCTTTGAACATCTTCCACGCTGCGTGGGCCAGACTGCTCTCTCTATACACCGATTCCTCCGATGTCTGCTTCGGCAATGTCTTCAGCTGCAGAACCGTTCCCTTGGATGGCGCAGATCGGATAGTTGGGCCCTGCTTCAACACACTCCCAATTCGAATCAAGCCCTCCTCAACTGCAACGAATAGTGACATCATGAAATTGTCCCAACAGAGCAATAACGACATTTTGCCTCACCAACTCAGCCCTCTACGGCGTATTCAACGGCGTGTCCTTGGCGATGGCTCTCGCCTCTTCGACACGCTGGTCATTTTCCAGAACAGAAATACATTTCTAGATTGCAGTGTCTGGGAAATTCTTCAGGACGAAGGAAACATGGGGTTCCCCTTGATCTGTGAGATCGTTCCCGATGAGTCTGCCGATAACATCAATATCTGCCTCCACTTCCAAGTATCGCATATCTCGCAAGCCGTGGCTGAGACCATTGCGCAGGACTTTGTGGCCCTTGTTGAACACATCACTCAATACCCATCTAGTCAGGCATCCGATAAGTGGCTATTGAGGAAACATATTCCTCGAGTCTTTGAACAGAAGGTATCTAAACCGACCAACTCTGTCCAATTCTTCACCAAATCTCGCCAAAAGCGCCCTTGGTCCTACCAGGAGGAGATTGTTCGCGAAATTCTTTGCAATCTCTCCGATGTCAGCTCGGATAATGTGTCCCAAGACACGACGATCTTCCAACTTGGGCTGGATAGTATCAATGCTGTGCAGGTATCGGCCAAGCTGCGAGGATTAGGGTATAATAAGATCTCATCGAGTGATATTCTCGAGGTATGTCATTTTTCTGGGGTTTAATCATTGATTATGAATCTCATTATTTACTCATTGACTTGTATCAGGCTGCCTCTATTGATCAAATTGCTTCTCTTCTTACTTCAAGCGCGAAGGTTGTTGAGGAAATTGAGTTTGACTTTGAACTTTTCCAAACCCATCATTTGCAATCAGTTTGCGAACAACTTGACATTTCTTCGCAAATAGTACAGTCACTTCGCCCTTGTACGCCAGTTCAAAATGGAATGCTGGCGATGTTTACACATTCTCATGGCTCCGTGTACTTCAATCGAATGGCCTTGAGATTCCCAGAACCTTTGGATAAGAAGATTCTGAAAGAAGCATGGATTAAGGTTATGGCTCAGCATGAGATGCTTCGAACAGGCTTTGTCCAATTGCGCGATCAGCAGTATCCTTTTTCTATGATAACTTACTATGAAAATATCGAAGTACCATGGTGCGAGACCTCGGCTTCCATCACACACACCCCTGGTGTTCAAGAAAAGCACGCCTTGGAAAATCTTCACCAGCCCCCATGGAGCATTGAAGTTGAGGCAGGTGACAACGCCAGTATCATGCATTTCTCTGCATTGCATGCTATCTACGATGCTCAGTCTTTGGCTACCATATTTGCAGACGTCAGAGCAGCATATGATGGAAAGGTCCTGGCTACGCCGGCACCAATTACCGCAACCCTCGGTCCTATCCTTCTTGAAAGCAACAACCAGAGTGAATCTGCACGATCGTTCTGGAAAGAACTGACTCCAGAAGTGCAACCCTCCAAATTCCCCGACTTGCATCCCATCCGCACAGATGAGCGTACATTGCTCACCACCTCCATCCATTGTGCAAAGTCTCGCAAGGCTCTTGAAGATGCCTGTCGAGATATCGGTGTGACACTACAAGCAGCGGGGCAAGCCGCATGGGCTCGCTTGTTGTCTGCATACACGGGCGAGTCCAATATCACATTTGGAACCGTGCTATCGGGCAGGAACTTATCTGCCGCTGCTCAGCATGCGGTATTTCCGTGTTTAGTCACAGTGCCAACCTCTCTGCGTATTGAGGGTTCCAACCGACAGCTTTTGGACCGCACGCTGAAGCGGAACGCTCTTTTGATGAAAAATCAGTTCGCGCCTCTGTCGCATGTCCAGCGTTGGCTGGGTAGTGATGAGCCACTCTTCGATACGCTGTTTGTTTATCAGAAGTTCAGTTCGGATGCAGTTGGTACTGATGGGTGGAATATTATCGACGAGGAGACGAAGATTGATGTAAGTAAAATAAGCAGTCAAGACCTTCATAGTTCTGTAGGGGTTGGACTAAAGTTTTACAGTATCCTGTCTCTGTTGAGTTGATTCCGCACTCGACAGATCTGAAGATCTCGTTGAGCTACCGGAGCGATATTGTCCCTGTGGAGCAAGCGGCGATCCTCTTGAGTCAATATGACAAGTTCTTGCAGAATACTGTCTTCCGTCCAGATGCCAATTCCAACGGTCATGAGTCTGTGGGTAGCAGTCTACTATCTATTACTCCTGCCAAAGAAGCACCAATCCCTACCACGGTATCTTTACTGCATCAATTTGTCGAAGGAAACGCGCTCAAGATTCCCGATAAGAGTGCGTTCGAATTTGCCTTCGGTGACACTGCGGACAGCCTTCAGAAGAAGACTTGGACTTACTGTGAGTTTAATGAATGCGGTAATCAAATTGCGCATTTCCTGCAGGCAAAGGGGGCTGTTCCTGGTGGGATTGTAGGAATATGCTTTGACAAGTGTCCTGAAGCTTCTATGGCAATTCTGGGTATCATGAAAGCTGGATGTGCATATTTGGCTATTGACCCCGGCGCTCCTATCTCTCGCAAACAATTCATGCTGGAGGATTCCGGTACCAAGATCCTGCTCTGCAATCAATCGAAGATGGCGGAACTGGAGGGTCTCCCGGCTATTGATGTCCAGGCGCTTGATGAGCCGGGGCTGCTTGATGGGGTTTCAACAGGCGATGTCTCACTCTCCCGTCCGATCCAGCCAGATGATACTTGTTATTGTCTGTATACATCTGGTACAACCGGAACACCCAAGGGATGCGAGATCACGCACGACAATGCTGTGCAAGCAATGCTGGCATTCCAACGATTGTTCGCAGGACACTGGGATGAAAAATCTCGGTGGTTGCAATTTGCCTCCTTCCATTTCGACGTCAGTGTTTTGGAACAGTACTGGAGCTGGAGTGTAGGAATTTGCGTCACTTCCTGTCCGCGAGATCTGCTGTTTGAGGATTTGACTGGAACGATACAAAAGCTTCAAATTACGCATATCGATCTGACGCCTAGTTTGGCAAGACTAGTCCATCCCGATGAAGTCCCGTCCCTTTGTCGGGGAGTCTTCATCACCGGTGGAGAGGCGTTGAAACAAGAAATCCTCGATGCCTGGGGCAAGCATGGTGTTATCTACAATGGCTACGGGCCTACTGAAGTTACTATCGGGTGCACTATGCTCCCACGGATGTCTGCCAACGACAAAGCCTCAAACATCGGGCCCCAGTTCGATAATGTGGGGTCGTACGTCTTCAGCCCCGGCACCACAACACCTGTCCTACGTGGTAGTATAGGCGAACTCTGTGTCTCCGGGCCTCTCGTTGGAAAGGGCTACCTGAACCGAGCGGAGCTCACAACAGAACGATTCCAAGAGCTCCCCGAATTTGGCGATCGCATCTATCGCACAGGCGACCTTGTGAGGATTTTACACGATGGGAGTTTCCAGTTCCTTGGTCGTATCGATGACCAGGTCAAGCTCCGCGGACAGCGACTCGAGATTGGAGAAATTAACGAGGTTATCAAACAAGCCATGCCTGAATTGAACGAAGTCGCTACCCTAGTGATCACGCACCCCAAACAATCAAAGGACCAACTTGTCTCCTTTTTCACGACGGCCACTGCAGATAAGAAAGATCGCGCTGTCAAAGTTGGAGTCCGATCTTCAGAAGATGGTCGCGTCCTGCTGTCGAAGATCAAGAGCGCTTGCCGCACTCATCTTCCCGGGTATATGGTGCCTACACATATCATCCCGATGACCCGCTTCCCACTTTCTGCCAATAATAAGGCCGATATGAAAGTCTTGAAGAGTATCTATCAGGAGCTTTCTCTGGAGGATATTCAGATATTGAGCTCAATGAGTGTTGGCCAGCCTACTGACAGTGTCCATGAACAGAAGATCATATCTGTTCTGGCGAGGTTTATTGGTTCTTCTGAAGGGAAGGTCTCGTCGTGGTCCAGTATCTACGAGCTTGGTTTGGATTCTATATCTGTGATTGCTTTCTCGAGAAGTCTCCGGGAGGCTGGGTTTTCTCAGGCTCAGCCATCGATCATCATGAAGTGTAAGTCTGATGTTCCAGGTGTCGGTTAAGAATATAATTGGTTAACAATCCACAGATCCTACAGTTTCCGGAATGGCTTCTGCCCTACATCTGCCTGTCTCATCTTCTGTGTCCGTGGAAGCCATTCAACGAAGTGCCAAGCAAGGCATCGAGGCTTTCGCCCACAAGAACTCGCACACTATCATCGAGCGTATTGGCGATGACATTGAAAAGATTGCACCCTGCACTTCGCTCCAGGAGGGTATCATATACCACTACCTGTCGAGCAGCACGCCATTATACTGCTCATCATTCACTTTCGAGCTCGATCCTGCCGTCAACCTCGAGAATTTATGCGCAGCTTGGGGTCAAGCCCAGAGAGAAGTCCAAATGCTGCGTGCCAAATTTTTGCCATCTCCAGACGGCTACGCCCAGGTTATCATGAAGAAGGATGCTCTGCCTTGGTTCCTTACTACGGCCGGCAGCAAGGAGGAGATTGATGACTTGCGCAAACAACGACATGGTCACTGGACCACCCAGCTCGACGATCTTTCATCGAATCTATGGGAAGTCGGTGTCATATTTTCCCCCGAGACATCGGTAATGTGCCTGAGCATATTTCATGCTATCTATGATGGAAATAGCCTGGTCCTGCTCCTCGAATCGGTTGCCCGAAATTATCTCTGCCAGAGCAAGAGTTCGCAGTCGATTCCGGAGTTCCTTGATGTATTGCACTTGGGTCCTCTTTGTAAAGACCCCGCTGCAAAGTCATTTTGGAAAGAGCATCTTACCGACTGCCGTAATCGACCTTTCGCGGAGAACGGCCAAGTAGACAGCGCGCCAATACTGCTCAAAGTCCAAATGAATTTGACAGAGCAGGTCGACCATCTTCATCGGTCTCTCAATGTCACAGAGCAAGCTGTTCTCCATGCCTGCTGGCTTCTCACTCTCCAGCAGCAATACTCATTTGTGCCACCACTTGGTATCATTGCCTCGGGCAGGACAATCGATGTACCAGAAATTGCCGACGTTATTGGGCCGCTGTTCAATACAATCCCCAGCAACGTTCAGCTGCATGGCTTGGAGTCTTGGTCTGATGTCGCTCGGCGCTGCCATGACTACCACGTGTCCATGATCCCATTCCAATATACCGCCCTGCGGGATATTGTGAAATGGCTCGGAAAAAACCCCAACGAGCGACTCTTCGACTCTTTGTTTGTCTTCCAGAGAGAAGCTGATAACGATACATCATTTACAAAACATCTTTGGCGTACACTCGACTCAGAGGCCCAGCATGAGTACCCTCTGGCATTTGAGATTGTGCGCAATAGCAACCAATCCCTGACAGCCACCATTGCCGCGAAGAGCCATGCGGTATCGTCGGAGGATGCTCAGCTGATGTTATCCAAGTTCGAGCAAATCCTTTCTACGTTTGCGCAAGACCCCAACAGAGAATTGCATAAGATAAATGGGGACCCTCTCACACAAGCTGTGGCGAATGATGAAATGAATGGTCACCACGAGATTCTGAAAACACCAGTACAAAGCAATGTTGAACATACCAATGGCTCTTTGTTTGAATGGACTTCCCAAGCTTGCACAATCCGCGATGTGATTGAAACCCTCGCGGGAGTAGAGCCCCAATCAATCAGTGAGAACACGTCAATCTTTGAAGTTGGGCTTGATAGCATCGATGCAATCAAAATCTCTTCACGGTTGAGCAAAGTCGGCATCAAACTTCCCGTGAGTTCCATCATGCGCCATCGTACAGTGAAGGCCATGAGCGAGCAACTCTCAATGACAAATGGCCATATCAAAGATGGGACATTGCCATTGCTCAATCAGCTAGAGAAATCGTTGGCCAAGTTCCTCGGGGCTGAAGGTCTTCTCCCTAAGAACGTGACTCGTATCCTACCAGCCACTCCCATCCAAGAAGCTATGGTAGCAGAAATGTCAGCCTCTGGGTACAAACATTATTACAACCACGAAATTCTCGAGCTCGAGCCAGATGTGGACATCGGAAGGATGGAGCAGGCATGGAGAGCTGTCGTTAGAGCCCACCCTATCCTCCGTACTTCATTTGTCGAAGTCTGGGATCCGCAGATTCCTGTTTCGTACGCCCAAATAATTCACGGCGAGGATCAACTTGATATCCAGACTGTGTATCTGCACAGAGTCTCCGTGGAATCCATTATAGATACTCAGCGCTCGAGGGTCCGCAATGAGCTGGCAGGTTTCCCCTTACTATCCCTCACAATTGCGGTGGATGGAGCCAGGCGGCACCTTGTTTTGTCGATTGCGCATGCTCTCTATGATGGCTGGTCAATCAACCTACTACATGAAGATGTTGCCAAATCATATGCTGATGTGGAGTGTTCACGCCCGCCAGCTGATGACATTCTCGAGCAAATTATTGCCTCGTCTGGCGATGAAGCACTCAGGTTCTGGCGAGCAACGCTATCGAACTTCACCCCGGTGTCATTTTCGCCCATGGAGCACGCTGACAAGAGCTCGGCCATCGTTCACCGAGCAGAGCAACCGTTAGCCGTTCCACTGTCCAAGGCAGAGACGTTCTGCAAACGCCATGGCATTACTCTCCAGGCGCTTCTTGTCGCCTGTTGGTCTCTTGTCCTTGCCACGCATGTCAAGAGGCTAGATGTGGCATTTGGGCTGGTCCTTTCCGGGCGGAACGTGGCTGACTCTGAGCATGTTATGTTCCCGACCATGAACACTGTCGCCATGCGAGTTATTCTTCATGGGACGCGCGTAGAATTGGTGAAGTATGTGCAGGAGGCTCTCCTGGCGATGTCGGAGCATCAACATTTCCCACTTCGGCGCGCCAGACCAGATACGGGATCGCGGGCGTTGTTTGATACGCTTTTCATGTATCAGAAGAGACCGGTGCAAAATGCCCAGACTGCGTCGAGACAGGTTTTGTATAAATCTACTGGGGGAGCAGCTGATGTTGAGTACCCTATTTGCGCTGAAGTTGAAGGTGTCGGTGAGGATCTGGTTGGGCGGGTTGCGTGTCGTGGAAATGTTATTGGGGATCAAGATACTCTTGCGCTGTTGGGGCAGATTGGCGATATCCTTTCGTCTATCATCGATGGCCCCTCCGAACAGACTGTCGAATTCACCAGCGAAGGAGTGAAGATTTGTGGAAGCGCTGCTTTCCAGGATGAGTCTGGACAAGATATCGAGACGGAGGCAGTGCCCCGGAGACTCAATCACGCACAATGGTTGCCCATTGAGTCAAAGATCCGCGAGGTCCTTTCCATTACATCCGGGGTACCTGAAAGCTCTATTGACAAGAGCTCCACGATTTTCGAGCTTGGTCTGGACAGTATCAGCGCCATCAAGGTGGCTGCACTCCTGAAGAAACAGTCCATCAAGCTTGCGGTCAGTGACATGCTTCGGGCAGGTACCGTCGAAAACATGGCCAAAGCAGCCAACAGCAAGCAGACGGAGCTCCCACTCACAAATATATCGCCCATTCTCCACGAGTCACTCGGCGGCATCGATGGGACGCAACTGCTACACTCGCATGGTATTGATTCGCAACGAGTGCGGAAGATGTTCCCCGCAACTGCAGGGCAGACCTATTTCCTCTCAATGCACATCCTGAATCCCGAGGTATTCTATCCTGAGTTCTACTATCTGACATCCCGACAATTGAGCCCCGAAGTACTCGATCGGGCCTGGGCTCGGGTCATAGACCAGACCCCAATGCTTCGAACGGCATTCGTTCCCACTGCCGATTCTCGGCTATTACCCTATATGCAGATCGAGTTTGAGGCTGTGCAAATTCCTGTGGTCTGGCATTCCAAGTTTGATCGGCATCTTGTTTCAACAAGTCTCCAGCAAGAATTTGGGGCAGTACCGGTCGCACTGCATGCCTGTCAAGCGAACAAGGGAACGGCGCTTATTCTGCAAATCCACCATGCACTGTACGACGCTGTCAGTCTACCCCATATCCTAGACAGACTCGTTGCACACTGCAGTCAAGAGAAGGTTGCCAAGCCAAACCCCGACCTTGATCTTTCACAGCTCGTGGCATTCCACCATGTTCATTCGCCCGTGGGTGTCCGGCGGCAATTCTGGCAAAAGTATCTAGGCCAAATCCCAACAGCGGTAAAACGAGGGGATGGCTTCGGCTCTGTACAACAACACTATCGACCGGGGCTGGTTTCAAATATGGCCAGTGTCGAAAAGGTTGCTAAGCGCCAGGGCCTTAGCGTGCAGACCGTCTTTTTAGCAGTCTATGCTCGAGTGCATTTGCAGGAATTCCGTGCAGCTGAAACAGATGACGCAGGGTCTCACAGGCGGTTAACTGTTGGATTGTACCTTGCCAATCGATCTCATTCGATCGAGGGTCTAGCCGAATCTGTGATTCCCACCGTTAACATTGTTCCATTACGGCTGGATGACAAACTCAGCGATTCCAACGACACCCTCCTCGATGCCGCCCACAGGATTCAAACTGAAATTAACGAGATCAGCCGACCAGAATACTCGGGTGTATCTCTCGTGGAAATTGCCGAATGGACGGGCGTCCGGATCGACACTTGCATCAATTTCCTGCGACTTCCTGAGCCAGAATTGAAAGCACCCAGCAACGGAGACGCAGAGCTTTCTCTTACGGCAGTCCAACGCGAGGAGTTTGAAGATCTTAGCGCCCCAGTTTTGGAGGCCCCAATCGAGATTAATGGCAATGGTTTGACGCCACCGGGTGCAGCCGAGATGAGCCCGGGCCTCAAGCATCCGAGCGCCTCAACGGCTCAACCCATTTTTCAGGTAAGTTGACGAATGCACACTTCTGCATCTAACAGTGAGCCTTATTGCTTACATTTTGACAGCCTACGATTGACGTAGAAGCCGCCATTCGCAATGGTCGATTAGATTTTGGGCTCTTCGCACCAGAATCTCGTCTTGACGGAGATACAGCGGAGACTGTGATCGGCGCCATGCAACGGGAGATGTCTGCATTAGTGACAGGCTTCGAATCAATGTAGAATGTCTAGCGATGCTAGGGATGGAGGGAAGAGTATCCCGGGGTGATGTTACGGAGTATAATATGATTTTTATGTGATTTTGTTTCTATCTCATCCTGCATATGAGGCGTTGGATGTGTTAATTTTTCCCATCGAATTTTGTATCTGATTTGACGAGTGGCCTAGGGATCTTTTGAAAACTTATAAGGTAGAGATATAACAGGCATGTATAGAAGAGACACTGGTACAACATAGACCAGGTTTTCTTTTCCCCCCTTTGCCATAGAGGCTCTCCCATTCCTCCCATTCCTCCGAAGATAGGATGAATCAGATGTAGACTTGGGCTGTGCAAGTGTCACTTTAAAGCAAGGGGCATTTCGCGTGGCCTATTTCTTTTTTTTCCCCCTATTTTTGGATTATACATTAAAAAATATAAAAGAAAAGAAAAAGGAAGAAATTTATATACAATATAGTTACCCCTCCCTTTATTGGGGCCGTGCGAATGTATATTTGATATATATAAGAACTAATATGATATATAGCTTGAACCTATATAAACAGAAGTACAAAAATAATATGGGGGGATTTATTGTTTGCTTACCTAATATTTGTTGTCACACGCGTCGGACTAATCCATATCGGGTCGAATCAACAACGCGACTGCGCGTTAATCGGTTTGGACTTTCTATAACCTCACCTGAACACCCCAATGAACATTTGAACCGGAACTCTTTGACATTCTTAACATCCTCCCCCCCCCCCCGGTCCAAGTGGTCCCAAATCACTCTTTCGATCCTTGGACACGGGCTCACATACCGATACCCAACCCCTCCTCGATTCGCCCTCGTGGGCTGACCTCACATATTGTAGGGGACTCACCCCCTTGCAAACCTGTTTGTTGGAAAGATTCCGACCCTTTACACTGTTCAAAGTGAAACATTCCACTATCCTATCCATCTAAACGCAAACAAAAAAAAAACCGTGTGTATAGGACACATGGGAAAAGTTGACCTTGGAATCCCCGCGATGGAAGTGGTGTGACTCAACTTGCCACTGCCTTTGGAACATTCCATTCCCCGTGCCTTCCTGGGGCCCTTGATATCCTTGGCCTCTTTTTCCTCTTTCGGACGCGTTGTTGATTTGAAACGCGTCGACCTTGGGAACTCTCGAAATCTCAAAATCCCCTCTTAGGTCTAAGATATCAGCGCATTTAGTGACGCGCTCTTTTCATTCTGGATCACACCTTGACACATTCCCCCCCGATCATGGTTGCAACCTTTTCGCCGCACCGGGACTCCGGTGGCACACTTCATCTGTCGCACTCGGGAATCCATCACGTTGACGCCAGCTCTGCTATCCGCCAACTGAGGCGCTCACTTTCGCGCTCCCCCTCGAAGAGTTCCAACTTCTTCCTCAACCCGCGTACTCATTCTCCTTCCAAATCCACCTACATCTCTTCTCCTTTGTCGCCTTCGCGACGCGCCTCGCAGAACAATTTTGTTCTCTTCCCATCTCATCAGTCGCATCAGTCTCCTCTCGCTGTCCCTTACCCTCCCAGCGCCAAAATTAGTAGGCCGGTCATGCGTCGACGCACCTCACCCCGCAGTCCGGCCAAACGCGTGTTAAGTGTTTCAACTGACAGCGGTAACGCGACTCCAACCCAACCCATCTCTGTACCCTGTGGTGAAGAAAATGATTTGACTCTTGACGACCTCGCGCCAGGTCAAAGTACGACCCCCGACAGTCCTTGTTTTTTGAACACTCCTTCTGCCCCTCTGAGTGAATCGACTTTTGCGCGATCAACACTATCGCGTGTGGAAAAACGACGTAGTGGGACCTTTGGTAGCTTTGCGACTGGCAGTCCCTTGAAGCGCAGCGACGGGATTATGAACTTGGACCAAGCATCGCGAGGCAGCCCTTCTGCAAAGCGACGCAGCGTGCACACCCCCAATTTCGCAGCCGAATTCAGCATTTTCGACAACGAAGTCGAGAACACGACTCCAGAGGGGTCCCCGACGCGTAACGAAATCCCCTCTTTCCCCACGCCTGTCCAACCCCATAGTCCATTTGCGACAATTCCTAAGCGCTCATCGTCTCTACGACGCTCGACCCTACAGCAGCGCGGCGATCGACCTCTCTTTGGGCGACCCAGAGCTATGGATGATTCACCCGAGGCATCACCACCTGATACACCATTGTCTGTGAGGCCGCGAATGTCCTTTGATAGCAGCCTATTCCAGCCAGGCAGCGAAAACATTTTCTCTCCTAGGCCGCCCGCCAGCCCTCTTTTCTCCAACTCCCCCGCCAACCCTCCCGTCAACCCTCTCGTCAACACTCAACCCCCTCGACCCGCTGCCCATCCTCTCTCTCGTACTATCACCCAATCATCTTCTGGATCTAGTCTTGAGGACTCGCCCACCCATGAGCCAGTTCACAAGTCCGAGGGTCGACGAACAATGTTCAACTTCTCCAAATCTCTCCCCGCCGGGGCTACTCGCCCTGCCCCCGTGCGCCAGATCGCACGAGATGATACAACGGAAACGTTTGCTACTCCAGATAACTTCAGGCTAGTGAAGCCTTTGCCTGCGGCATTCATGTCCACTGGACTGATCTCCAAGAAAAACCGCAACGCGGAGGAGAATCCTGGATTTAACAAGAGCATGCCCGATACACCGTGCAAGCGACCTGTCAATCTTTTCACCGCAGGGCCAAATCCCACGGACCGACTGTTTGACAAGTCACGTCTGGTTCATCAATCGGATACTGCTTCCGCATCTCCATTCAACCTACCTACTACCTCACGTCCCAAGCCCAGTCCCTTCGCTCGGGGCATGGGAATATTCGGTAGCAGCTTTAATCGTCCCGAGGCCTCGCGACGTGGAAGTTTCGCTAGCATTGATGGTGATGAATTGATTCTCGCCCAATCGCCCTCTTCCCGACATGACAGCCAGCCCCTCAATGATGATTTCCCTCCCACGCCGACCAAGCAGCCCTTCCTCCCCTCTCGCACCTACCCTCCCACGACTTCCCAAATCCCGTCTCTAGAACGACTATCCGACACCGCGAGTCCGCTGCACGAGAAGCTTCTGCAGGCATCACCACACACTCCCCGCGACCAGTACTTCCCTCCCGACCCAAGTGGCTTATCGATCTCCGTCCCAAGTGATCATCAGTATGTGCAAGAGCATGATCTTCCAGCCACTCCAACTGGGCCGCGAGACTCTTGGTCATCATTCAGACGGCCCAGTCTCCAAATTAGCGGCTACCATGTTCCAGATGTCGACCCCACTTTGACATCCCGCTTTGACAACGTTGAGCTTATTGGAACTGGCGAGTTCTCTCAGGTCTTCCGTGTCGCGCAGCCTCATGACGCATCCTTCCCATCCGTGTTCTCTCTTCCATCAAGCGAACCAAGGTCGCCGACTTCCCTCCCCCATCAGGTGTGGGCTGTCAAGAAGAGCAAGCAGCCCTATCTGGGGTTGAAGGATCGCGAGCGTCGGATTCGCGAAGTCGAAGTTCTCAAGACTTTGACCAACTGTGACCATGTTATTTCCTTTATGGACAGCTGGGAAAACAATGGCCATCTGTACATCCAAACGGAGTTCTGTGAAGAAGGTAGCCTGGATGGCTTCTTGGCCCAAGCCGGGCTTAAGGCCCGACTTGATGACTTCCGCATCTGGAAGATTTTGCTCGAGATGTCGCTGGGACTGAAGCAGATCCATGACGAGGGATTCATTCATCTTGACTTGAAGCCTGCTAACATCCTGGTCACCTTTGAGGGTACTTTGAAGATTGGTGACTTTGGCATGGCGGCACGCTGGCCTGCAGAGGATGGTATTGAGGGCGAAGGTGACCGCGAATACATTGGACCGGAGATTCTGATGGGCCGATTCGACAAGCCCGCCGATATTTTCTCCCTTGGTCTCATCATTTTTGAGATCGCTGGCAATGTGGAACTTCCTGATAATGGAGTATCCTGGCAGAAGCTCCGCAACGGCGATATGAGCGATGTGCCCAGCCTTACCTGGAGCTCGGAGACAAGCATCTTCCGCGATGCAACTGGAAACCCTATCTCGGAAGGGTCATCTTTCGAGGACCTTTGTACATCCGATTTGGGAGACAACGAATTCGGCGACGACTTCCTGACAAGTCGTCAACTGAGCAACCCTAAACCACAGCGACTCGCACGAAGTGGGGAGCTGATTGATCCACCCAGCTTCATGGTCGATGCCAACCACCCACAGGCATTGGACGGCATTGTTCGATGGATGATCTCCCCTGAACCTCAGAACCGTCCCACGGCTGATCAGATCCTGGAAACTTATGGAGTGCAATTTATTAACCAACGACGCCGCGCTGGCGCCACCGTCTTTGAGGGTAACTGGGGCCCCGCTGACGAGATCTTGGCCGAAGATGCCGAAATGATCGATGTGTAATTTAATATCCCTTTTACTATTGTGCATACGGAGGGTGTTTCATGCTTTGTGTTTTCCCTTTTTTTTTTTCTTTTGTCACCCGGCGTTCAACCTCGGAGCATTTGTCTCTTTTTTTCCTCCCATCTTTGATGCCATGTTTTCACGTCACGACTTTGTTCCCGCCATCCCATGCTTCGACGGTCGAAGCTGGGGTTTTTCTAATGTGGGCTGGGCTTTGGGGCGTTTTCGATTCATCCGGTTTGGATCTGGGCGTTACCTTGAGCAGTTCACGGATATTCATGACTGGAGTTTGTGAAGGGTTCTTAGCCCTGTTTCGCGGATCTTTTTTTCCCCCTTTCCTTTGTACGATTCAATACCTAGCGTTACGAATTGCCAGAAATGTACCAACCTCACAGGGTGCTTGCTTCTGGAAATGGTCAATGCCATTCTCGGATTCTGCCGTATTCGTTCAAACATGTCTTATCGTCTTGTCCTTGGAATTACTCCAAGGCGATTATTCTTTCCAGGGCTGATATCTGGTCGGACGGTATGCCGGGTTGGCTTGGAGACATCACTGCTATCTTTGCCTTTTTTTTTCTTCTGCGT